AAGCAAACTTTTGAGGGTTTTTAATTTGGAATTCTTGGTCAGGCAGCAGCAGTGGCGTAGCGTGGGTTGTCAGCACCCGGGGCAAGGCAAGTAATTTGCGCCCCCTAACCCGTGGATTTGCGCCCCTAACCCGTGGATTTGCGCCCCCTAACCCTAACCCCCAGATGTTGCGCCCGATGCGGCTGGCCCCCTGCACCCCCCACACTACGCCACTGGGCAGCAGTTCTTCTGTTAGCCCAGTGTTTCCCAAAGGGGGGGCGGGGCAGGTCATATGGACCCTAGGGCACCCCAGGATATTCCAAGGGGGCCACAGGTGAAAAATGTGTATGGGGGGGCCACAGCAAGAGGTTAGGGGGCCACAGGGGGAAGTGAGAAGTGAAGAAAGAAAATCAATTTTTTAAAAATCATGATTGGCTAGCTATCCACTTGGTCAATTACAAGCGGGTAAGGGGGTGGCCCCAGGGATGCTGGTGGCGCTGTGGGTTAAACCACTGAGCCTAAGATTTGCCGATCAGAAGGTCGGAGGTTCAAATCCCCGCGATGGGGTGAGCTCAGTCCCTCCTGCCAACCTAGCAGTTCGAAAGCACACCAGTGCAAGTAGATAAATAGGTACCACTCCGGCGGGAAGGTAAACAGCGTTTCCGTGCGCTGCTCTGGTTCACCAGAAGCGGCTTAGTCCTGCTGGCCACATGACCTGGAAGCTGTACGCCAGCTCCCTCGGCCAATAAAGCGAGATGAGCGCTGCAACCCCAGAGCCTTGAGCGCTGCACCCCCAGAGTCATCCGTGACTGAACCTAATGGTCAGGCGTCCCTTTACCTTTAAGGGGGTGGCCCACCAGGTGGGAGAGCTGAGGCTCCCATTTTGACCAGTCAAGCCCATAATCCAGAACCCCCAGGTCAGGTAAGTGGTGGGGTGGCAATGGGTAGGGCTGGGCAAGCTGGGCCCAGTGGCAGCCTGGGCCTGACTCTGCAAGGTGCAGGGTGCAATCCACCCAGTGCCTAGTAGTGGATCAGGGCCTTTGGATGTTGCTGAGGGGCACAGGCTAGTCAAGCAGAGTCTTCTGGTGCTGCTGACTTGCATCTAGTAAATAATGAAGTGTCTACTCAGAAGAAAGTCACACTGAGTTCAGTGGGCCTTACTCCCCAGTAAGGGTGTGTGGGACTCTAGGGCAGTGTTTCCCAACCTTTTTTGGGCAAAGGCACACTTGTTTCATGAAAAAAATCTCGAGGCACACCACCATTACAGCCCCGTGACGTCAGCGCGCAGCGTCACGCCGGGAGGGACATGAATTGCTAGCAAATTACATAATCACCTCCTTGAGGGCTGGCTCATCTTCTCCGAAGGCAGAACCCCATTAATTAACAGCACAGACTCACACCATAGCCAAGACGAGGGGGGAAAACCTCAGTCATGCACAGTCATGCACATGTGGGGGCTAAATGAGGACGAAGACCGGGCAGAGAGCAGGGTTCAAATCACCCCACCTGGCCAGGACAATCCCTGGGTGCTCCCTTGGGCCACTCGCCTGACCCACCTCGCAGGGCTGTTGTTGCGAGGATAACACGGGGAGAACCACGCGCGCCCCCGGGAGCTCCTTGGAGGAGAAAGCGGGCGATGAATGCAATGCACGAAATATATGAGAGGCGACCAGGTTTTGCAGGTGAGGGGCCCCCGCCAGCCTCCGCTTCCAACACCCGGCGCAACGACGCCGAAGTTTCCCCCCGGGCTCGGCTCGGGGAGCAGCGCTGCTCCCCCCCGGCTCCCCTTCGCCCTCCCGGCTCTCTCTGCCGCCCACTGGGGACCCCCCTCACCTGCCAAGTCCGGAGTGCCGGTGGAAGTTGCATGCATGCATGCAGGGCGCCGCGTTGCCATTGCATTGCACTGCACTCCATGCAACGCCTGCACGCATGCATTGCCTTGCACGCCCGCCAAGGGGTCTCCCCGCGGTCCGATGCGTCCCCTACGGCGCGGATGCAGCATTGCAAAAATAAAACCCCCCCAACGCAGCCCTACCTGGGGGGCAGCCTCTGCCTCCGCCGCTCCGCCTCCGCGGGGATCCCCGGCCTCCATCCTGCCGCCCGATCTCCACGGGGGCGCAGGCAGGCTGCGCGGGGTCTGCGCGGAAGAGCCCCTGCCCGCCCGGCCGCCGCCGCGCTCATTCCATGGCCGGGAGAAGAGCGCTTCAAACAAAACGCCCGGCCCGCCAGGCCACGCTGGGAAACGTAGTTCGCGCACCCCGCGCGGGCGCGGAGCCCAAGGGCGAGGGGACTACGGATCCCGGCAGCCCCCACGCCGGGGACGGAGGGGGAGAGGCCGGGTGCAGGGATGGAGGGACGGGTGGGCGAGCGAGTGAGTGAGTGGCAGCCGCCAAGCCTTGGCCGAGAGCCAGGAAGGGCTTCCCCGGAGGAGGAGGAGGAGGAGGGAGGCGCAGAGCGGGAGGGAGGGAACCCCAGGGGTCATCTAGTGACGGCGCCCCAATCGAAAATTTGACTTAAAAAAAAAAAATCTTTCAATTTTTTAATTTTTCCCGCGGCACACCAGGCAACATCTCGCGGCACACTAGTGTGCCGCGGAACAGTGGTTGGGAAACACTGCTCTAGGGCAGGTATCCCCAGCTTGCGGCCCTCCAGATGTTTTGGCCTACAACTCCCATGATCCCTAGCTAACAGGACCAGTGGTCAGGGATGATGGGAATTGTACTCCAAAACATCTGGAGGGCCAAAGGTTGGGCATGCCTGCTCTAGGACTTTATCTAGGCAGTCAGGTCTCCTCCGGATAATAATAATAATAATAATAATAATAAATAAATGTATTATTTATACCCCACCCATCTGGCTGGGTTTCCCCAGCCATTCTGGGTGGCTTCCAACAAAATATTAAAATGCAATAGTCCGTCAAACATTATAAGCTTCCTCAAACAGCCTTTTTGCACTATTTTTGCACAATATCTTTTTGCACCAGGTCAGTGAGGACCACTTGCATTTTAAAATTCCCCCATATATACAGAACTCCCTGTGCACCTTTTGGACTGTATCTGTAGGTCTCTCCCCGCCCCCCCGTCTCAAATAACTGGGGTCAAATAAGTGTTTACATTTTATAATACATGGAAGATGGATCTCTCTCAGGAGGTTCTGGACTCTCCTTCCTTGGAGGTTTCTAAGCAGAGTTTGGATGGCCATCTGTCATGGATGCTTGAGCTGAGATTCCTATATTGCCGGGGTGGGGTGGGGTGGTTGCACTACAAAGATATTGAATATAGTCGACAAATATAGTCAGAGAGAGAGAGAGAGAGAGATGGTGGCCAGTCCTATGCTTTTGTTACCTGCACAGGTGAGGCCACGGCCATCCCTGGTCACGTGTAGAGGAAGTCTGTACCAGTCTAGGCCTTCCTTCCTTCCTCTTAACGCTAAATTTGTAGGTACTGCTGAGACACACCTGTGAGACACTTATCAGTGTGTTGCACCACAGTGATGCTTATGCAGAACCAAAGATGGTGTTTCACATCCTCAAGATACCACCTGCCCTTTGGGACTCTGTGGACTATTTGCATGCTCTCCAGAAACAATACTACTGAGAATGAGCGGCCTCCTCATTTATCCCTCCCTCTGCCTTCCCCTGCACTGCATCCTGAAGCTTTTATCTCTTTGGGACAATCTGTGTGCAAAGACTGGTGGGAAAGACTGGTTTGGTGGTCCTCACCCAGAGGTCTTCTCCAAACTCTGCACGCAGGAAGAGGTTTCTTCTCTGGATCTTCCCAGCCCTAGTAAAAAAAAAACAACAAGCAACCCTACTCTTTTGTTTTCACTCTCTATTATTTTGCACCAGATTAGTGCCCTCTGATTACTTGGTTGACCTAGCAAAGGGCTGTATCCTCCAGAAGGGAGCAAGCTGAGGAAGGGAGTGGGTTGGGGTAGACACGTGTTTGTTTTCGTTTAAGAAATGTTTAATTTGCACCGTGATGAGTCATTTGGCTCTGAGCCCAGACAGCTTGCAATGCTTGCAATGGGGCAGACTGTGGCACTGTTGGTTCAGCTTGGGAAATCTCACTCTGCAGGAGGCTGAGAGACAGTTTGGTGGCAATGCTCTATTTCTGGATTTCCTGCATCAAGCAGTGCATTGGACAAGATGTGATTTTTGTCTCCTCTTAGTTAAAAAAGAAATGCTCCAAAAAATTTTTATCTCAGGGATGGAGAAACTCACATATTCCATATTTAAATATCCATTTTATTGCAATGTACACATTGTTTCTAAAGGACTTCATTCTAAAATATACGTATATATTGTAATGCTCTTTGTTACATCTTCCAAACTGAGACCTAAGCTGAGACCTCAGTCACAAAAAAGCACAATATTCAAAGGGGGGAAAATGAATTTTGATCTACACAGCAGCTACTGGGGTTGCAAAACCAGGCCATTTTGCATTGGAACTCACAGAAGTCAACTTTTCTCACTCCCAAGTGATTGCTGCTTATAATGGGTTTGTTGGACAGACAATATATCCGTTTGTTCAGTACAATGGGAAGTTATGATCTACGCCAGGGGTAGGGATGGGTCCATTTAAGTTTCTCTGAGTTTCTTAATTTCCAACCTGAATTTCCATTCTTCCTATTTCAACATTATATTGTGAACCGCCCTGTGATCATCAGGTGAAGGATAGTATAGAAATTTAATAAATAAAATAAGTAAATCAGTTTGCGATTAGATATACATTTAATTCCTTGTGAAAACTCACCAACATTCTTGGGTGAATTTCTCCTGAAATGAACATTCCAGTGCACTTTTCCCCAGCATAATTAATCTTTGCTTGCTTTTCTTTTTTTTTTAGTAATAGATGCAAGATGCCTCTGCACAGCCATGAACACTAGGGCGGTTCATAAAAAACTTTTTTTTTTTAATGCCTGCTCCAAAGGTCTTATCTTACTACACTAGGGATTATATAGCTACAGTATATCTGAAATTTCATGCATATCAGTTAATGTATTGACCCTGCTCTGCTGAATTGAAATTTCAGCCTTCACGACATAGGAAAACGGCCAAGTAAACAGCTATATTCATGGAGGAGGGTCAAGATATTGACTGATATGCATAAAATTTCAGATGTAGATATATAATCCCTAGTGTAGTGCGATAAGATATTTGGAGCAGGCATTTTCAGAAAAAAGTTTTTTATGAACTGCCCTAATGCACACATAGACAGATGTGTCCCTCCCCACCCCTTGCACGGAGCTGTGTCTTTGCCGCTCACTCATGGCTACTCTGTGGGAAGCGCTGTTTTACTTGGAAGTGCTCGCATCGCTTGTACTTCATGGAGAGGCCATAGCGAGGGGTCATGTCCACCTTCACCCCATCCGGGATACTGAACTGCAGTTGCTGGAGCAAAGTGGCCAAGAAGAGGAAGACCTGCCACCGGGCAAGAGGCTCTCCAATGCACCTCCTCTTCCCCAGGCCAAAGGCCAGGACCTTCTCGCTCTCATCCCGGTTGACAGTCCCGTTGGCAGTCAGGAATCGCTCTGGCTTAAAGGAGGAAGGGGATTCCCAAAGGGTTCTGGAAAAGGAGCATTTTTTGAATGAATGAATGAGCATGCAAACTCCTTGCCTCAAGCAGAGATGAGAGAAAAATATTGATTCAGTTTGCATAAGGACACTCTGAAACAATATACTAGCTGAAACACAGCCATCCTTTAAACTCACACTTTCAGGAATTTTGTAACACAGTTCTCTGGCCAAGTAGAAAAATGCTTAAACTGGGGTAAAACGTGCCTAGGAATGCATATATTGGTGAGAATGATATAATCATGAGTTATATCGGGAGGGAGTGTTCAGCAAAAATGTGTAGATCGGGCAAGATTTCATACAGATATGTGTCTACAAGGAGAAATTTGTTGAATTATTTTCATGAGGACATTTTTTAAAAGAAGATTTTAAAAAGAATATAACTGAAAGAAACTAAAATTGACCAATTCATCAATCCCTAATCTCATGTGCATCTATTTAATATTTCTCTGAACTGGGGTGTGGCGTGGCAGGGCAGGGTGATATGGCCCCGGGCACACACTTTTGAGGGGGTGCCCCCCCAGGGATCCTCATCCTGCCCTGCCTACCACTGGGGGGTCTCTGGGCCCCAGAGCCCAGCCTGGCCATGCCGCCAAGTCCCTAGGCCCCTCGCTCAGATGGCAAGCAGCTACAGATGGAAGGAGGCAGGCAAGGAATGACTCCAGTGTAGCCTGGCGCTCCTCTCTGCAGGCACTGGGGGGATTCACTTGCCAAGGGCTGTGTCGACTGGCTGGGCTCTGCTGTACGTAGGCAGGCAGGCAGCACGGCTCAGCCCCACTTCTGTCTGGTGGTGAGGGCTGGGACAGCAGACTTTGTTCAAATTCCATGCCCGGGTGTCAGCAAACTCCACTACGCCACTGATCTGATGTGGCCAATGTGGTGCCCTCACCTTACCCTTGACCATTAGCTATGTTGGCTGGGACTAAATGGACATTGAATTCAGCAACACCTTGAGTACATACAACACAAGCCTTATTTTTTGTTTTAAAAAGCTACTTGTTGTTGTTGTTGTTAATAATAAATAACATTCCTTGGGCCAGGGACTAGCTTCACGACTGCCAGAGGGAGCAGCTAACCAGGACTCTCTCTTCTAGACTGGAAACAGGGAGAAGCAGCTGCCCTTGAACTCAACATTTTGAGGAAGGTTGTGATGTCTGTTCAAAAAGGCATAATGGTGAATCCAAAGCTGGTTCGCTGTTCAAGATACATTCTCTTACACACTGCCTCATCTCCACAGCAGTGTGAGATTTTGGGGGTCCAGGCTTACCCAGGGTCTGAGAACCCTTTGGAAATGAGGCACAGAGGAGACTGTGGCGTCTTTAGGGTATATGGTTTCATTTACACATATATACAACCTGCACCTGGGTGGTGAGACTGCAGAGCAGTCACATCTCAAGAGGGCCTTGTTTCACCCACGGCTGCAGCCTCAGATTCCAAGAGACCCCAAACATCATGTGTGACCCTCTCTGCAGGATAAAACAGACAGACCGCCTTGTGCTTTGCCCCACCCCCTCCAGCTTGCAAAATGGACCCTTTTTTCTTTTTCGCTTAGCTCATCTCCCACTTCAATCCTGGATGCTTCCTCTCCCATCTCTGGTATGGTCTCAGCAGAGAGTGTTTTGCCTTGTTGATGGCTTTCCTTGAGGGTTAATAACTGGCCATCTTCTTCTTCTGTCCTCCTAATGACCCTCCTTCAGGGAGCTGGTCTGGCTTGTAAACATAAACTACGGTAAGCCCAGGGATTTCTATCTTTGGCACAGTTTAGTCAAACTTTGATCAATTCTAACTTTTACTGAATCCAAGAATTTTGGGCGACTTGCACTCACAAACTCTGGCACCCAGAACCTATACCAGTATGTCTGTAACATATTCACACTTAAAATCAGGGGTGGGAAACCTGCAGCTCTCCAGATGTGATTGGACTCCAACTCACATCATCTCTGCCCACTGGTTACACATGCTAGGACTTACGGGAGCTGGAGCCCAACAATATCTAGAGAGCACCTGCTTAAATGAGTGCTAAGGAACATGACTGATCGGTACAGTGAGCATGCACAAGGTGTGGGGAACATGTCTTCCCAAGGGCTGAGATACACTTACTCATCATGGTTGACTTGCCACTGGTTGACAAAGACACAGAGGTCCCTTGGGATGTAGTAGCCATTCAAAACGGTGTCTTTGGTTGTACTGAAATGGGAAATAAATGTATTTATTGGGGAAACCCCACAAAGCACCTGAAGGGATGGAAGAGTGGAAGGAATGTCAAATGGAATTTGGGAGGCTGTAGGAATGAAATGAACGCCATGCAATGGGGAAAGGGATGGAGAGCAATAGGGCAGTTTCAGTTTTGGTCTTCTCCGACCCTGCCCATTTCCCCTCTGATCCCATCCGTTAGGTTCCCAGAAGGCACAAATCTGCCCCCACAGACTGAAAAAAACCCTGCCCCCTGCTGCAGTGGCCAAGGTCAAGTCATATTAGCCACCTGTAAAGACAAAACAAGAAGGACGCCACTCCAATCATCCTAGGTTGCCATGCATTTTCCTTAAAGATTGACCAGTCTCAGACTAAGGTTACCAGATTTTTTTCAATGAATCTGGCAACACAATAAATGAATGAATGAATGAATGTTCAGGACATTGATGCTGCAGCGATAGTGGTGGCAGAGGGGCCGCCGCTGCCTTGACCTCAACCACCACGTTTCCCCTTCCTCTGAGGCTTCTTTCTCCTTTCTCCATGAGCCTGGGCAGCCCCTGAGTTGTTGGTTCTTCGGTGGTGGTGGTGGGGAAGCGGTGTGCGGTGGGTCAGGCATGGAAGGCGGGCAGGGGGCAGGGATCTTTCAGGCAGTTGCCTCCTTTCCCCAATCCCATTCCTACTTGCATGCAAGCAGGAGGCAGCGGGGATCCCTCAGCTGGGAAGGAAGGCTTCCCATTGCCTAACTGAGAGATACCTGTCCCCTCCTGCTTGCACGCAAGTAGGAGTTGGGAGGCTGCTTCAATAGGCAGCATGAAGCTTCCCTTCACAGCTTAGTTGCTGGGGTCAGGGAGGGTGGAGGCAGCCCGGAAGCTGCATCTGAGAGCCCCTGCACCACCATCATATGGGGACTTCCGAGCAGCTCCAGAGCCAACTGCTCTGGGCTGCTGAGACTGCCGCAGCTGCATTTCCCAGGGACATCAGATGAAATCCGGGGACATTCTGGGGATGGAATTTGTCCGGGACTTATTCGCAAATCCGGGGACTGTCCCTGGGAAATTGGGACGTCTGGTAACCCTATCTCAGACGTTTCTCTACCTGATCATGAAGACCTGGAGTTTTCTTCATTTTTGAAAGGTGAAAACCCTGAAAATGCTGCTAATTCCATACCAGATGGCCCACCCCATGTAGACGCAAGGAAGGCACAGGCTGAGGGTGAGGCCCCTCATGGACATGAGCTGGGGAATTGGGATGGGTTGGTGTGGCGATCACACAGGGTCCCTGGACGTTTAATGGTCTATTGATCCCTGTGCCACCACTGTGCTCACTTCCCCACTGCCACCAACCCGTTACTCTCTGGTAAAACACTGAGTCCAGTCAGTTGTTAAAAGTGAACCAAAAAAACACAAGTTCATTTTACAAACATTAACAAGTTTATGGTTTCTCAGATAATATTCCTGTCAGTATCTTAACTTTAGTTTCTTTACTGGCCTATACCTTCTGACTGATTATCTCAACTGTTTGACTGACTCCTCTTAACAAATTCTCTCACTCTCTCCCACCAGACTAGCCCAACCCACAGGCTTATCTTCTCTGTCTCTTCTAACTCCAGACTGTCTTCTCAACAACTCTAACTCACTAAAAACCCTCTGTGCTTAAACCTTATACACAGTTAACTCCTCCCCCTGGGTTCCCATTGGTTAGTCATTTTACAATTAGCTACTCCTTTCCCTATGAACCCAGTATGATGTCACACAAATGCCACAGTTTGCTTGTCTCTTTGGAAGGCTCAGGACTTACCAGTGAGGGATTGTGAAGGGCAGGAAGGAGGAGTGCCTGAACACCTCCAGGATGAAGGCTTCGGTGTAAGGCATCAGGGGACGGTCCGACAGCCGGGGCTTGCGCTCTCGGCCAATGCTCTCATCTACAGGTTAAGCATAAGAACGTCAGAAGACTCCACTGGATCAGGCCAGGGGCCCATCTAGTCCAGCCTCCTGTTCTCTCAGGGCCCAACCAGATGCCCATTCTGCAAAACCAGCAAGCAGGATGCCAGCACAGGAGCCTTCCCCCCCCCCTCCTCTGGTTTCCAACAACTGGTATTCGGAAGTATTGCTGGCTCTGTCTGTGGAGGCAGCCATTGCAGCTAGCAGCCACTGAGAGTCCTTTCCTCCATGAATTTGTCTTTTAAAGCCATCCAGGTTAAAGAGGAGAGAAAGAAACTGGGATCCAGTCTGCCAAAGAGATGTGTGAATTATTATAAACAGAGTTTTACCTATTTCTTCCTGAATCTTCTTTTGGATTTCTGGATAGACAACAAGATACATGAGGCACCAGGACAAGGCTGTGGTCACTGTGTCAAACCCTGGGGGGGAAACAGAGCGGTATTTTTTAAAAACAAAACAAAACACAAAAGCCTTTTTTTAAAAAAGGGAACCTCCTTTTTAAAAGGTGAATATAATTTTAAAAAGGTAAAGGTACCCCTGCCCGTACGGGCCAGTCTTGACAGACTCTAGGGTTGTGCGCCCATCTCACTTAAGAGGCCGGGGGCCAGCGCTGTCCGGAGACACTTCCGGGTCACGTGGCCAGCGTGACAAAGCTGCATCTGGCGAGCCAGCGCAGCACACGGAAACGCTGTTTACCTTCCCGCTGGTAAGCGGTCCCTATTTATCTACTTGCACCCAAAGGTGCTTTCGAACTGCTAGGTCGGCAGGCGCTGGGACCGAACGACGGGAGCGCACCCTGCCACGGGGATTCGAACCGCCGACCTTTCGATCGTCAAGTCCTAGGCGCTGAGGCTTTAACCCACAGCGCCACCCGTGTCCCACGAATATAATTTTAGTCTGCATCAATTAAATAGTATCCAAGTCTCAATAGTTCCCATCTGAGTGAGTGTGTATATAATTAGACATGCTGTTGAGAATGGGGACACATATCTGTACGTCTCCCAAATGTTCATAATACCAGAGCTCAGGTTCATCCAAAGCAGCGGACTGTGGGGAGATTCAAGACAGACCAAAGAGAATTGGGGAGCTACCTTACAAGTACAGTGGTACCTCAGGTTAAGAACTTAATTCCTTCTGGAGGTCCGTTCTTAACCTGAAACTGTTCTTAACCTGAGGTACCACTTTAGCTAATAGGGCCTCCCACTGCTGGCACACGATTTCTGTTCTCATCCTGAAGCAAAGTTCTTAACCCGAGGTACTATTTCTGGGTTAGCGGAGTCTGTAACCTGAAGCGTCTGTAACCCGAGGTACCACTGTACTTGGTACTGGGAAACCAATTCATCACAGCTCAAGAATCCCTGACAAATGGTCATGCAACCTTCAAAGGAAACCTGTTCAATGGGTCTTATCATCAGAAAGATCTTCTGAATGTTTAGTTGGAACCTCCTTTCATGTCATTAGAATCCATTGGTTCTGAACCTCCCTCTGGAGCACAAGAAACGAGCTTGCTCCATCTTCCATGGGGAAGCCCTTCAGATATTTTCTCGAAACCTCCTTACCTGCCCCAAATAGGTCATTGACGAGGTTCACTACTTTTTCAGATGAGAGTTGTAGCGTTGCCTTTTCTTGGCTTTGGTCGATGAGGGAGTCTGTGATGTCCCGGATGCTGTCCTGGGAAGGAATAGAGACTCAGTTCACAATTATGGCGGTTAGAAGCCAGTTCTTGACTTCCCAGCTTTTTTTCTGGTTTTGCTCTTGTGATTTGACAGCAAGGACAGCCTGTATTTGTTAAAGCATGCATTTTCATTGGATTTTAATGGGTACACACTCTTAAAATGAAATTTCATCGCGGTTTTTCTAGTGTTGACTCTGGTTTTGTTTTGTTTTTTAACAACAACCAACCATGTGGTGGCCATCACGTACAAGATGAAATGCAATCAGAAGGTGGAAGAAAAGTAACATGGAGGGCATAACATTTCATGGCCTATCTGGGAAGTCCTTATTTCAGGCATAGGCAAACTCGGCCCTCCAGATGTTTTGGGACTAAAACTCCCATCATCCCTAGCTAGCAGGACCAGTGGTCAGGGATGATGGGAGCTGTAGTCCCAAAACTTCTGGAGGGCCGAGTTTGCCTATGCCTGCCTTAGTCCATTATATAGGGAAGGGCCATAGCTCAGTGGTAGAAGATCTCCGGTTCAGTCCCCATTGGCATTGCAGGGAAGGGCTGGAAATATTTCCTGCCTGGAACCATGGAGAACCACTGCCGCCAGTCAGAATGGACAATGGTGAGCCTGAAGGACTTATAGCCCAACCTGGCATGAAACAGTTCCCTTCATCCCTTACTTTGCTGAAGCTCTCATAGTGCTCTTGGACGATCTTCTGCAGGAAGGTAGTGAAGCGTTGGTTGATGGCCTTAAACTTCTGTATGTTGTTGCTCGGGAGGTACTGGAGGGCAGGGATGTAGTCAGCCGGGTTGCCAGAGGATGCAAACTCCACAAAGTCCTCGCTCACATTCACTATGCTGAGCAGCTCCTCATCTTCATGTCTGTAGCGCTTGCCAAAGCAAATGGCACTGATGACGTTGGCCACAGAGACCACCAGGTACCGGTAAGGGTCGAGGCTCTTCTTCTCCAGCATCACCTGCTGCAGTTTCATCACCAGGTAGGTGGCCTCTTTGGAGACGTGCTCTTCCAATAGGCAGGTGGAGGAGGAGTCAGGGCTGGGGGAAGCAGCGAAGCTTTTGAGGGCACTCTGGGCCAGTTTCCGACGCATCTGCCACACCTCCCCAGAGTCTGTGCTGAAAACCAGGCTGTTGCCTCCGGACACGAAGCGGGAGCTGAACAGGTCAGGACGGCCCATGAAGTCTCCTCCTTGCCTCACCAAGGCCTGCTTGATGGTCTCGAGGCCACTTAGCACTACCACCGGTCTCATGCCAATATGGATCTTCATCACATCTCCGTACTTCTGGCTCATTTGTGTCAGACTCAAGTGGGGGTTCTGCCCCAGATCCAACATGTTGCCAATGAATGGGTAGCCCCATGGCCCTGGGAGACTCTTTAGGCCCTGTGGCACCGGCGTCCGGAGGGATTTGATAGCGATGGAGATCAGGCAGAAAACAGCAATGGCGATGAGGGCTTCTGCAGCCGAGATGGTGCCCAGGATTCCCATCAGTGACATGGCAAATGGGGGCAGGGTGGACGAGTAAGAGACCCTCCTGAAATGAGCCAAAGGACAGCCCAGGAGGCAGGTTAGCGGGTGAAAGTCTGTGTTTGGCTTTGCTGAACTCAGAGAGTTGCAAGTAAAGAACCAAATACTTGCACATTAAGTTACATCATGCAAGAGAGTGTGTTCAGAAAGGACTCATTCAGGTGTCCTACATGCCAGGAAACGAAATTCCTGCAGATCTGTTGTCTAAGGTGTTAACAGAGAACAACTTAAGGTTTATGTACAGCGGTTGCAATTGGGTTGAACCACAGGTGAAACGGGTTACATGGAAAGGGGGAGGATGTTAGAATATTCCGTTCCACCTAAAAAGGAACAGGCATGATTGTTGTGTGTCACATGCCTGTTTACTTTCCAGCACAGCCTTCTGGGAACTTCTGTTGTGTATAGCTTTTGCTTATGCTTCTTGCTTGGACACAAAAGGGGAAGACATGTTTTTTCCTTTGTCCTGATGTATGCTGAATAAACTGCTTGTAAATACGCTTTACATATGCCTCTATCTGCCCTTCCATTGCGAAGTTTGTTTACTCTGCTGGCTTGTGTGCTCAGCTTCTGAAAGGCTTCTGAAGCTCTGAGTCACAGTTTTGATGCAGAACCAAGGACTGGAGTTCGGCTGGCGACCAGCTAGTGGGCTGGAGCCAGCTGGGGCCCTGACCATTGACCAGTCTGGCTGAGGCTGATAGGACATGGAGTCCAAACACTCTTGGAGGGCCACAGTTTCTGCAGCTCTAGTCTATAGGGACGCCACTCTATGAGTAATACCAGTTTTCATGGTTGTTAAATCAAACTACCACTCCCTCGGAAAGTGGTGAACTCTCCCTCCTTGGAGGTTTTTAAGCAGAGATCTGGTAGCCATCTGTCAGTGATGCTTTAGTTGAGATTCCTGCATTGCAGGGGGCTGGACTAGATGACCATCGGTGTCCCTTCCAGCTCTACAGTTCTATTATTCTAAAACAGCTAGATACCATGTATATGGAGGCAATGCATGACCTTCCTTAGTTGGGGCTGATTCATACGACCATTAAAAATGCATTTGCTATTATTTTTAATTTAACCGCTGCTCCTTTCACCAAGCCCTCCATCTGCTTCTTACTTGCCTTGCCGTTTTCAGTGTCTTTCTGCTTCTCTCTGTTCTCAGGCACCGAGCTAATGACCTTTCATTACTGGTTGTCAATAGTCTATAAAAACACATTCTCCATCTGCTATACATTTTGGAAAGTTCGAGGAAGTTGTTTGTTTGTTCTGCATCTGGACACCTTCTAAAGTATATTGATTTTGCATATTGGCTATTGAGATCAAGGAGCAGCTTTTTGCCTTTGTTTGGAGACAAGTGGATGCCAATTGGAATCAAGATCGTGGGCTGAACCTTTCACAACAGAGCTGGTTTTTTATTTTGGGTTTGTTTGGTTTTTTTGGTGTCTCAGAATTGCTGAGCGATGCCAGGTATGAAGCTGCTAGCCTATAATAAATGTTCTACATCATAGGAATAGAAATCTATTCTTTGACATTTTCGTGGAGAAGCAGCAGAGACTGTACCACAGTCACTAACATTAACCAGTTGTAGAAACTTTTCAAATGCCTGTCATAATCTTCCAATCTTCCAAACTGCTTCCTTCTTTCCCTTTATGGAGAGCGGGGAAACCTTCCCAGATCGCCCCCACCAGCAAAAGTGTGCTATAACTTATGGACAATCTTCTTAAACTTATTTTTTTTGGGTGGGCAGGGGATTTATTTATTTTCTTACATGTATCTCTCAACCTTCAGGTAGCCCTGAAGTTTTTAATGTTTGATGTTTTACTATGTTTTTATATACACTGTAAGCTGCCCAGAGCAGCTGGGGAACCCAGTCAGATGGGCGGGATATAAATAATGATAATGATAATGATAATGATAATGATAATGATAATGATAATGATAACAATAATTCCGCCATACAACGCGACTCTGCGGTAAACTTCCAGGCCCTGGCCAGATCCAGTCTCAGCCCACCAATGGCCCCAGGCGCCTTCAGATAACAGATAACATTTGGGACAGATAATACAGTCCACCCAGGCCCCATCTCTGCTTCTGCAGGTTTCCCCATATCCCATCCCTGCTACTTATGGTCAAAATCCCCTTCCCTGCCTGGGAAGGGTACACTTTCCCAGCTGGGACCATCTCTATCCTATATCCCCTATACAACACATAGCACATAGCAGAGTTACAGATAGGTAGCCGTGTTGGTCTGCCATAGTCAAAACAAAACAAAATTCCTTCCAGTAGCACCTTAAAGACCAACTAAGTTAGTTCTTGGTATGAGCTTTCGTGTGCATGCACACTTCTTCAGATACACTGAAACAGAAGTTGCCAGATCCTTCTATATAGTGAGAAGGTGGGGAGGGGAAGGATCTGGCAACTTCTGTTTCAGTGTATCTGAAGAAGTGTGCATGCACACGAAAGCTCATACCAAGAACTAACTTAGTTGGTCTTTAAGGTGCTACTGGAAGGAATTTTGTTTTGTTTTCACATAGCAGACTTATACTAAACAGGTAAAATGATACATTGCTATGCTACCTTATAATAGGATGATGCAGAAAAAGGCCTGCAGCGGAAATCTATGCATGTTGACTTGGAGGTAAATCCCAGCATGTTTGCTGGGGCTTGCCAACAGGCAATCATGCAAACATTTACAGCTTAGCACAATACAGACCTGTGGAGCTCAGATGGGCGAAGGAACTGGAGTCTTGACCAGCACTGTAGCTAATCCAGTCAGGATTTTCTGTCTAGATCTCTCTCTTCCCCCAGTGGACATGCTGTGATGAGCAGTTCCAGAGGTCATTTTATGCACTGCCCTCAGATTGGCCAATCCACGCCCTCTTCCGCTGGCCAAATCCACATCTTCCCAGCCAAGGCTGGACTAACAAACAGATACTATTGGAGGAAGCCCAACCCACTCCACTCCACTCCCACATCAGCCAGCCACAGCCTTGTTGATCGCCACAAGCACATTCCAAGTGTTCTTGAGCTGTTGTGGTTTTTGTCTTGTCTTGAGTTGTAATGCTGCATTGAATAAAATTTGATTTCATTTTTTTTATCAAAGCAAGCTCTTGGTCATTGCAAGAGAAATTCACCAAACTAAAGACTTCTGCTTGTTGAAATGTATAGCTTGCACCAGCTCAGCTCAGCAAATTGGAACAAAACAATGAGTGGTATTAAACCAGGTTTTACTCAGAGTAAACCCATCGAAATTAATGGGCCGAAATTAGTCATGTTTATTGATTTCTGTGGGTCTACACTTAGCTGAATATCACCCAAATGCAACTGATTGACCTTTCTCCAGTCTTCCTGCCTGAGCCCCAAAGTCCAACTACAAAGGGCAGAGGTTTCCCAGGAGTAAAGCTGTCCAGTTTGAAGATGAAGAATCATATGAAGGAAGGTTAGGGGCCTTGAAGTTGCCCACTGTCCCCAGTTAGCACTTCGACAGCAGACTGAGCAGACATGCAGGGGACTTGGCCAAAGCCCATCCCACCAGGAGAAAGAAGAGGTCTTGTGTTTCTGTGTGAATGGGGGTGATTATTTCTATGCATTTAATTTAGCATATGCACATGTTATGCAAGGCGAGAAGAGACAGGAGAGCAATCCAAACGCCGGAAGGTCTGTTGCCTGGAAGATGGGGCAAGCTTGTCTTCTACTGCTCCGGCAGGGCGGACCCAAACCAGCTGATTCAAATGGCAAGAAAGGTGATTCCAGCTAAAGGTTAGGAAGAACATTTGAGGGTAACAGTGATGGCTCTGACCTATAAAACCTTAAATGGCTGAGGAGCACAATGCCTCAAGGACCACCGCTCTATTTAAGAACCTACCTGGACCCTGAAATCATCTTCTGAGTCCCTTCTTCATGTGCCTCCTCCATGAGAGGTCCGGAGGGTGGCAACACAAGAACAGGCCTTTTCTGCAGTGGCTCCCCATTTGTGGAATGCTCTCCCCAGGAAGGCTGATCTGGAATCTTGGTTACACCAGGTGAAAATGTTCCTCTTTAACCAGGCCTTTGGCTGCTCGACATCTGGTGCCCTTTTAAAATGTCTTATGGAAGGGGGGATAATTGGGTTGTTTTTGTTTTTACAGTGGTACCTCAGGTTAAGAACTTAATTCGTTCCAGAGGTCCGTTCTTAACCTGAAACGGTTCTTAACCTGAGGTGCACTTTCACTAATGGGGCCTCCTGCTGCTGCTGCGCTGCTGGTGCGCGATTTTCGTTCTTATCCTGGGGCAAAGTTCTTAACCTGGAGCAACCACTTCCTGGTTAGCGGAGTTTGTAACCCGAAGCGTCTGTATCCAGAGGTACCACTATATTATGTATTTTCTGTTTTTTATGTTGTGATTTTATGTTGTGAACTGCCCTGAGATCTACAGGTATATGGCATAATAATAATAATAATAATAATAATAATAATAATAATAATAGCTTTTTGACAGTGGAATGAACTCCCTTGCATAGTGATGGACTCTTCTTCATTGGAGGTTTTTAAACAGAAGTTGGACGTGCATCTGTCAGAGATTCTTGAGCTGTGTTATTCCTGCATTTCAAGGCATTAAACTAGATGATCCTTTAGGATCCCTTCCAAATGTACATTTCTATGATATTTCTATGATATCTCTGTCCTTAATTTCCTCTTGAGGACTGATCTTTGAAAGGTGCTGAGGATTGGATTTTGATGACTCTGCATTGGAAAGGGGTCCATAGCTGGTCCCTAAGGTGTGTTGGGCAAGAGGAGTGGTGCTGAGCACCTTGGACAGGAAGTCTTCTTCCTACAAAAGAACAAGAATACTGATATTGCCTGTATGCACATAGGATTTCTTAGCCACCTTTAACCATAAGGTCCCAGGACAGGTTGCCATAAATCAATGACACAATTTATAATTAAATAAAACTAACAATATCTACAACACCAAATAAATTCAGTGGTACCTAGGGTTAAGAACTTAATTCGTTCTGGAGGTCTATTCTTAACCTGAAGCACCACTTTAGCTAATAGGGCCTCCTGCTGCCGCCGCACGATTTCTGTTCTCATCCTGAAGCAAAGTACTTAACCCGAGGTACTATTTCTGGGTTAGCGGAGTCTGTAACCTGAAACGTATGTAACCTGAAGCGTCTGTAACCCGAGGTACCACTGTAGCTTAAAACAGAGAGTAAAGGTGGGTTGAAACACATGTTCTGAGTGGCTTGCCCCCATTCATGGGGCAGAAGATGCTCATTTTGAATTGTAGAATTGTAGAATTGGAAGGGATGCTAACAGCCATCTAGTCCAACCCCCTGCAATGCAGGAATTTTGGTGCCCTAGAAAGATAGAAACTGTTCTTATAGTGAGCCAGACCATTGGTCCATCTAGTTTATATTGCCAACTCTGGCTGGCAGCAGACAAGACAGGAGTCTTTCCCAGACCTAACTGGAGGTGCCAGGGCTGAAACTGGAATGCTCTATGTGCAAAGCAGATGATCTGTTGCTGAGCTGCAGTCCCACCCATGTCTCTGTACCTGGCTGACTATGTCGCTCTGTGTGACGCCAAACATGTGATGCATTGTGTCACCTGGCAGGGCACCCACAGTGGAAATTTTGTGGGTGAGGCACCCAGCCCACCCACCCTGAGATGCTGGCTATGTTAAAGTTACCAGATTTTTTTCCAATGAATCCGGGGACACTTTACAACTTCAATGGATTTTGTATGGGGACTGGTTTGTAAATCCGGGGACAGTCCCCCGGAAACGGGGACGTCTGGTAACCTTATGTGGTTGGGTAACCACGAAGGCAAGGAGGAAGAAAGGGAAAGGAAGGCCAGTGTTGGTTCAAGCAGGTGATCAAACTCCAAAGTCCCTGGTCAGGAGCAGCACTGCAGCTTGCGACAGGTCAGGCCAAACTCTGGTTAAAGATTGTCCAGCTTTGCGTGAGAAGCCTTTTGGCTGAGCTTCCCATTGTGCCCTGGAGTCCAGCAGGCAAGAGGAATGTGGCGAAAGAAGAGGTCAAGGCAGAGGAGGCTGGGCTGGAAAGAGAGAGCAGCCTTTGGGGTGAATCTGCTCTGCTGCTCCAGAGAAGCGGACACAGAGCAATGGATCCAAACTACAAGAAAGAAGATTCCACCTAAACATTAGGAAGAACTTCCTGACAGTAAGAGCTGTTCGACAGTGGAATTTGCTGCCAAGGAGTGTGGTGGAGTCTCCTTCTTTGGAGGTCTTTAAGCAGAGGCTTGACAACCATATGTCAGGAGTGCTCTGGTGGTGTTTCCTGCTTGGCAGGGGGTTGGACTCGATGGCCCTTGTGGTCTCTTCCAACTCTATGATTCTATGATTCTATGAATCATAGACTCACGGAACTGTAGAACTGGAAGGGATCCCAAGGGATCAACTAGCCCAACCTCTGCAATGCAGGAATCACAAGTGAAAGAACCCCTGACAGACAGTGGCATCACATGGGGAGGGCCAGAGGGGTAGTGGCGCAGGGAGCATTTGCTGGGGGGGGCATTTTACTTCTTGATGCCCTGCCAGCCCCACCCCCTGCACCCCTGCCCACCCATGGCCCTTGGTGGGCACAGCAGCCACACACCTGAGGAGTGCACTCGTGCTGTTTTGACAACCTGTGTGAGAAGGATGAAACCGACATGGACCCTTCCTTTTCAGGGAGCATGCGTGTTGCATTTTTTCATCTCCGCCAAGCTAAGCAGTTGGCTCCTTACCTCTCTTGCCCTGACCTAGCCACTGTGATCCATGCAACGGTCACCTCCAGACTGGATTATTGTAACTCACTCTACGTGGGGCTGCCCTTGAGACTGACCCAGAAACTCCAGCGTGTGCAGAATGCCGCGGCGAGACGCCTTACGGGGTCCTCGCTGCAAGATCACATTCACCCAGTACAATATCAGCTGCACTGGCTCCCGGTGGAGTACAGGATCAGGTTTAAGGTGCTGATTTTAACCTTCAAAGCCCTATACGGCCTAGGACCCTCGTACCTACGGGACCACCTCTCCTGGTATGTCCCACAGAGGACCTTACGGTCTTCAAACAAAAACATCTTGAGGTCCCAGGCCACAGAGAGGTTAGGCTGGCCTCAACCAGAGCCAGGGCTTTTTCGGCTGTGGCTCTGATCTGGTGGAACGCTCTGTCACAAGAGACTAAGACCCTGCGGGACTTGACATCTTTCCGCAGGGCCTGCAAGACAGGGCTGTTCCACCAGGCCTTTGGCCAGGGCACAATCTGACCCCCTCCTTTGGTAATCCTCACAGAGCCCAATGGTTGCCATTAATCTGATTTGAACTGATTTTATAATGAACTGATTTTAGAATGTTGTATCATTTTACTGTTATTAGCCACTCTGAGCCCGGCTTTGGCTGGGGAGGGTGGGATATAAATATATTATTATTATTATTATTATTATTATTATTATTATTATTATTATTACTGCATCCTCCTCATGCAGCCTTGCAGCGTCACCAAGTGCCACAGGACTGGAAGGCAGTTTGAGTGCGTCCTTTGGGCGCATGCTTGTTGCATTCACCAAGGGCCACAGGCAGGCAGGCAGGGGCACAGCACAGTCCCACTTGGCAGCGGCAGCAGGGGCTGAGCTTGGGCTCCATTCACCTTCTGAGCCTCTGTGCCTGCACCATCCCAGGGGCACACCCGCCCCCAGGCACCTGCCATGTGCGGTATGCAGCTACTTACAGTGTGTAGTGTGGTGCAGCATGGTGGGCCAGGCGGGCCGTTGTCCCGGCACAAAAATTTTCAAGGGCACAAGTTGGGTGAGGGATGCTTCCTCACCTCTGAATGTGTTTATTACATTGAAGACCCAAACTACAACCCGTTTACCTAAAACAGCCATTCATGTATGCGCAAGGAGGATAACCCAGATGC